GAGGTAAGTGGGCAGAGCATGCAGCTCAGAGCCTGCCTCACAGGCCGTCAGGGACCGTGGCTATTTTGTTAGTAATCTTGTAAGATACATGCCTCTGAGTAGGAACACTGGGCCGTCTGCAAGTGCCTAACGAGCCAGTGGTCCTAGCAGAGGCTGGTTCACGGCGCAGCTCCCTGCGTACCCACAGCTGTGGGCCTCGGTGGGCAGCACCCTCCATTGCTAAAAATGGCAAGATCATGCCTTGACATCTCTGCCTGGCCCCGGGGGGTCTCCCCTCCCAGTGAGGGACTTGAATTTTGCAAAAAAGGTTAAATCAGTACTGCTTGTTGGGGAGGGCTTCAGCGCTTGGAATGGGTTGGGAGGGGCATAGATGGGAAGGACTGCTGGAACAGGATTCTCCAGAGAAGCAGACCCAACAGGAGATCTACACACACACACACACACACACACACACACACGATAAGGAATTGGCTCACATGATTCTGGAGGCTGAACAGTCCCAAGATCTGTAAGCTGGAGCTCCGCCCAGGAGAGCCGATGGCATAATTCAAGAAAGGGTCTGAAGGCAAGAGATCAACATTCCAGTTCAAGACCCTCAGACAGAGCAAAATTTCCCTTAACTGAGTCTTGCTCTATTCAGCCCTTCAACGAATTGGCTGAGGCCAACCCACATTGGGAAGGGCCATCTATCTGCTTTACCCAGTTGACTAACTGAAATGTTAATTTCATCCAGAAATACCCACATAGACACACCCAGAATAATGTTTAACCAGGTATCTGGGCCCCCATGACCCAGTCAAAATGGTACATAAAACTATCAGGGGCACCTGGGTGGCACAGTTGGTTAAGCGTCTGAATCTTGGTTTCCCGGCTCAGGTTGTGATCTCAGGGTTGTGAGATCGAGCCCGCATCCGGCTCCGCGCTCAGCACCAAGTCTGCTTAAGTTTATCTCTCCTTCCCCTGCCACTCCCCCCGCCTTGTGCTGCCACTCCCCCCTCCTTGTGCTCTCTCTCTCCCTCAAATAAATAAACCTTTAAAAAAAAAAACAAAACCAAGAAACTATCACAAGTGCTTCTGCCTAAATGTGGAAGATGTGGGTCTGGGGGTCCTCGACCCTGCGCCAGCAGGAGCTCACAGAAGTCAGTGTGGCCATTCTCTAGGGAGTCCACTGCTACCTGAGAGTGAGGGGAAGTAGCCCTAAAGATGGTATCCATATGCCAGGAAAGCTCAGCTCATCCAAGGAGGAAAGAACCCACAATTGAACTCAAAACTGGTCCCAGCTACCTTCCCAGTAAGAATCCTCTATCTTGGAGCAGGCTCTTCTGGAGCAGATTGTAAGGTCTCCTGTCCCTCCCTGGTAATTTGCACTACAGCCCTGGGCCTGCCCCTTTTTCCCTGCGTCCCCATCCTCCTATGAGGGTCTCATCCTGCCTTCTCCTTGCCCTGGGGAGCCCAGACCCTCTGCCATCCTGTATGGGCACCTCAAGTTGGTTCAAGTTCCTTAGGAGTTTCTTATGTATCCCTCAGACTCTAGACTGCAGACCTAATAATGTATGTGTCCAAAGTAGGCCTTCTAGAAAGTGGCCCTGATCTGGTCTGCATTTCCTGTGACTCTGCCCAGGACCCGTGTGGTCCTGCCCAGAAAACACAGGATCCCAGTGTGCCCCAGGGGCAGCTCAAAGGCTGCGGCTCAGCTCTCCATTCCTCCTGTGGACTGAGCACCCCTGCCCCAGCACGATGTCTCCATGGACCGTTCCAGTTCTGACACCCCAGCTCAGTTTCCCCCATCCGCTCCCCCGGCCCGGAGGAAATACAGCGATAGGAACAACTCCTGAAGTAGGAACATGTTTCGAAGCCCTGGGATGTGGAAGGGAGAGTGGGGAGGTTGGGGTGTGATGTCCAAGGCCGTTCATGCGGGTAGGCCATGGTCAACCCCCGTGAGGGCAGTGCTAACCCCCCCTTACTCTGAACCCAGGCTTTTCATTACTGCAGCCTCAGGCTTTCTCTGGGTGGGCTGGCCTCCTCGGTGGGAACTAGCATTAAGCCAGCAAAACGTGAGTCCGCGTTTGCTGAGGGCTTCCTAGGGCAGATGCTGTTGAATGTATTAATGTACACGTCCCATCAGCCTGCAGCCGGGCATTACTACCCACGTGGTACAGATGGATCCACTGGGGTATAGGGCAGTCACTTGCCCCAGAAAGGAGGGGTTAGATGTGGGACTGGAGCCCGGGATAAGTTCCCAAGGACCCAAGTTGGGGCTCCTCCTAATTACAGAATGGTCTCAGGGAGCTGAAGCCACCTGCAGGGCCCCACGTGTCTGGGGAAATGCAGGGGCTCGTCCCTGCGTCCCTAAGTAGGGCTCAGCGGGGGCCGCATTTGCGGCACCCAGGCCTGATCCCCGGCAGCGGCCGAGGGGCGTCCTCCCCGCAGGCCCGTTCTCAGGGCCTGGCGCCTCCGCCGCTTTCCCTCAGGCCGGATGCCCTGGGCGGTCTGCATGGAGTCTGAGCCCTGCGGCTCGGCCTTCTCCTTGGCTCGGGGGACATCCAGAAGGCCTGTCAGAAGAGAAGGGGTGAAGGCACAGTCGACGTGGGAGACGCAGTGGTGCGGGAGCCCTGGGAGCCTGGGCCTGGAGGGAGGCGTGTTTATGGAGCAGACGCTCCAAGGGCGAGCTTGGGCCATGGCCGTGCGGGACGCCACGCAGGGCGCGGGGCCGGAGGAGCCATGCGCTGAGGGCCGCCTGACTCGCGCAGGCACCTGGGGAGGAAAGGCAGCTGCCCCCGGAGGGCGAAGAGTGGGCCTCTCCCCCTCCATCACCCACGGGCTCTTCCCAGCAGCTTCTGAGGCTTTCCTGGGGGGTGGGGGGCGTCCCTGGGCTCAGACCCAAAGGGGAGCCGTCTCTGAGGACCCGCCCGGCCACCCGACTCCTGCAGCTCACGAGAGGGCACACTTGGGTCCATCCCGGCCCGTCTCCCCGGCCCGTGGCATGGGTGTGCCCCCAGCTCGCGCGCGCACGCCCTCCGCGCGCGCACGCCCCGCACCGCTGTTGCGCCCGGGCCGCACTGCTCCGTTCGTGGTGCGCATGCTCCACCTGCAGGCCTCTGGCGGAGCCCCGGGAAGGGAGCGGACTGGCCCCACAGACCCCCCACCGGCTCCCAGCTCTCTACGAGCCATCAGCCAGGCCCCTCAGGCTCGCTCAGGTCCCAGAAGTCAGTAGCAGAATCAGAACTAGCCCCCACACGGTGCCCCCTGCACTGTGCGTGTGCGCGCGTGTGCGTGTGCGCGCGTGTGCGTGTGCGCGCGTGTGCGTGTGCGCGCGTGCGCGTGCTCACTGTGTGTCTCTGTGTGTGTCTGGGGAACAGCGGTGTGGATTTGGCCGGTCCAGGCTGGAGCGTGTGTCTGTCTGTCCGTGTGGTGGTGTCACGGACACACGGCCAGGCACGTCCCGGGCAGAGACCAGCCCAGCCCAGTTTAGGCGACAGTAGCCTTCCCTCCTCCTCCTCCCTGAACCTCATGCTCACCCACACTCCGGGCCCTTTCTAAGACTACATGCAAATGTCCCTTCCTCCAGAAAGCCCTCCCCACCTCCCCCCAGACAGTGCCTATAGCCCCCCGCGCCCGCTCCCCTCACTCCCAGCGCTGCTTCCCTCACATGGACCTTATATTGTCCATCCATCTCCTTCCGGTCCCCTTTGCCCCTGGATCCAGTGCCAGGCCCAGCGTGGGATTAGTGGCCAGGGAATGATGACTGAGAGTCGGCGCGCGGCCCATCCCTACTCCCTGGAGCTGCACCACAGCGGCCCTGGACCCCGAGGCAGAGGTACGGGTCTCAGCTTGGCCACTGAGGAGCCCCGTGACCCTGGACAAGGCCCTCCCTGTCCTCTCCTGCACGTCGGCTGCCGGAGGGAAGGGCTGCAGGGCCTCGGGGCCGGGTGAAGCCACCCCCTGGGTCGACATCTGCCCTTCAGGCTCTCCAGCTCAGAGCGAGGGCTGCCAAAGGGCTCCTCGATCCCCCGGATGCCGGGGCCATGGGACCAGAGCCAGCGTTAGGACTGGACCCCCACCCCCGTGGGGGCAGCTCTGGTGTGGGAAGAACGTGGGCCTGGGACCATGTGAAGATGGGGTTGGCACTGGTAGCCTTAGGTACCGATGCATGGAGACAGGCAGGGACCTGGACCCCGGCTCCAAGGAGAGCGCAGTGGGTGGGGGATCCCCTGAGAGCAGCGCCCCTCTGCCTCCCCTACCCCCACACCGCAGCAGGGAGGCCAAGCCTCAGCGTCACCGTCTTACAGGAGAGGACAGGGAGGGCCTTGTCCAGGGCAAGTGGGGCAGTGGGCAGGGTCACCAGGTCACCTCCGGGGGTGGCTGGGGGTGTTACCCACTCTGGAAAGGCGAGGGCGGCAAGGCTGTCCACAGGACTGGTGCAGCAGGTGTGAGACAGGAGGGGCGACAGCTGGGCTGGGGGATGGGCTTCACCTATTGGGGCTCAGGAAGAGTTTTGGGGGGCAGTGGCCTGGTCATGGCCCAGGCTGCCTGAAGCCCCTTCCTCAAAGCCCCAGATCCACTGCTGTGGCCGGCCCTGGATTTCCATCTGAGCCAGAGCATGTCCTGTTCCCACGGCCCTCCTGGCACAGTCAGGGCTCTTCGGGGGCCCTGGTCAAGGGTTTGCTGAGTGACTGTGTGACCTGACAGTTTGGTCACAGCTCCCAGCTGAGCAGAGGAGCCTGGAGCACGAGGTGCTGCTGCCCCCTGGTGGCTGCAGCCGGGAGGGCGGTCTCAGGCTTGGGTCCCCGCCTGGGTTCAGAGCTGCTTGGGCCTGCCTCATACAGCTTTCTGTCCCTGTTCCACTTGTCAGATAAGGAGACTGAGGCTCCGAGGAGCACCTGACTTTCTGTGGGCCACACAGTGCCCAGAGGCTGAGGCTGGGCTCCTGATACCCAGGACTCGGAGGCCTTTCGATAGTGTTGCCCAGTTAAATTTCAGTTTCAGACAACGAATCTCTGTCCCACGCAGAATCTTATATTTTTATTTGCTGAGTCTGGCAGCTCCCCTTGTCAAGCCAGGGAGCTGAGTGTGCACAGTCCCCGGGGTGGGTCAGAAGCTGCAGGGGCCAGGCCACCCCCAGGGCCACTCTGCTCATGACCCTCCCCATTCTAGTCAGCAGAGAGGATGAACAATGGAACAATCCTCCGCTCCCAGAAAGAGCAGCAAGGACGTCTCAGGCGTTTTCCCTCCGGGCACTACATTCCGATGAGCCTCGTTGAGTGTCCCTGACCCTCCCTCGGAACAGCCGCCAGGGAGGGACTCGAGGGACTCGAAAGCCTCGCTTGTAGGGGTCGGCGGCTACGGTGGGGCCCTGTCACTGGTAGGGAGGCAGGGGCTGGGTGTGCGCAGCTCCAGGCGCCCACTGGCCGGGGCTCAAAGCCACGGGTGCTGCTGCCGGCCCGAGTGGGAAGGAGACCGAGGGAGAGCAAGGGCCCGGAGCCACGTCCCCGGCCACGTTCCCGCCACGGCTCTTTTTCTTCAGTGAGTGACCGGGACCACAGACTGGCCAGGGAAGCGGACACCTCCTTCCTCTTAGGTCCTCCCGACTCACTGGCTCCCTTAGACGAGTCACTTGGCCTCTCTGGCTTCAAGTTCAGCAACGTCTTTGTAGGCTAGGAGCGCCAAGTGGACGTGGGAGCCACGTGGCCTGCCTCTGCCCACCGCCGTGCCATCGGACGCGAGCAATTCATTTCGGAGCCTCTCTCCTCGCTTGGGAGGCCCGTGATCTCTGTAGTAAGATCAGTGATGCGGACACATGCAGAAGTGCTGTGCAGCCTCCTCAGGCCCCGATGCTCCCCCCACCCGTGCGTCGGTTCTTCCCGAAAGGCCCCGTGCACACGGGAATGCGCGTACGCACACGCGCACACACACACACACACACACACACACAGCGCACGACACGCTGCTCCTCACCCTGCTCGTCCGCACTGTGGCTGGGAGGCGGGCCCCATGAGCTCCTGCCGGTGCGAGCAGCCGCGGCCCCGGCCCTCTGTCATCTTGCCTGTCCCTCTCAGTGGACACATGGCGTGTTTCCAACGTGTGCTGTGAACAGTGCAGTGAAGAGCCTGTGAGGGGGTTTCTGTCAGGAAATCCTTACATAGCTGCGTCAGTTTGGGTTGTGGTTTTGCCCAGTGGCCTCCGAAGAGATCACCCCCACAGTTCCCTTCCCGTCTAGTGTGAGCACGTCTGCTTAGCCAGCGGCCGAGGCAACCCCTCCATCTGCCCACCTGACATGGGGTAGTCTGTTTTCATGTGCGTTTCTCGAGTTTGGAAGTCTCACACTCGGACTTTTCTGTAAATCCATGTTTGTGACTTGTCTACTTTCTATTATATTGTCCTTTTATTGACCGGAGCCTTCCGATATTTAGAAAGTCAGCCCTGGGCTCACGTGGTTGTTTGTCCCTTACCTTTTTGACTTCAAATGTGTTAATTTTGTGTCTGCTCTGTTACAACTCTCCCCTCCGATGGACTATGTAAGGAGTTGGGGAGGCTCTTCTTGCACTTTCCAGGCATTGGCCCAGTTTCCCCACACTACCCCATCTCTGGAGTGTGGGGTGGGCCCTACGATCCGTATTCAGAAGATGCTCCCCCGAGTGAACTGAATGCAGGCTGAGACAACTGCCTTCATCTTGGACCAACAGGTTGAGAGCCCTAGGTCCCTTCCCATGGGGGGCCTATCTGGAGTCTCCAGCACATTCAGGAGGAAAATTCACCCGCTGCCTGGTGGAGCCCCAGAGCCATAGTCACTTCACACTCTAAGTCTGGAAGTGTCCGGTTTCTGTGAATGACTAGACAGTGCCATTTCTTTTTTTTTTTGAGAGCGAGCGAGCTCACACTCAAGTGTGGGGTGGAGCAGAGGGAGAGGGAGAAGCAGACTCCCTGTGCTGAGCCCGACGTGGCGCTCGATCTCACGACCCCAAGATCATGACCTGAGCTGAGATCAAGAGTCAGACGCTCAACCAACCAGCCACCCAGGTGCCCCTAGGCAGTGCCATCTTTCACCACATGGCAATAGGTAACTGCACACGGCAACCTAGGACCTGGAGGGTCTTGGAGGAGTGTTGACACATATCCAGCATCTGAGATCTCCATCCTCTTTGGCTGAACTCACTTGCCCACTCCCAGGTGTAAGGACCAGAGGTGGCCATTTGGCCCAGGCCAGGCCACATTACCCTCCAGACCCGAATGTGGCCTTGGCAGAGCCCAGAAACTCTGGGCGCTTACAAGCAATTTAAGCAGGCTGTCGGGAGTGAGGCTGAGGCTGAGGCTGAGGCTGTTGTGTGGGTGGAACAGGACAACCTAGAGCTGTTTCTGTCCCCACTGGCACTGGACAGCTGGGTGGGGACTGGCTGAGAGAAGAGCAGTTTCCAGATCCTTGGCATACTTCGAGTGGAAAGCCCTTTCTCTTTTCCATCCAAGCTCATTGCTGCCACTAGGAGATCTCAAGCCCTTCCTGCTAGAAGGCCTAATTTACCAAGATTCCAGACTTGGTGACTAGCTCCCATTCCTCAACACCAATTCCTTTATTTTGAACATCCTGAGGAGTCAGAAAAGGATGTGCTCACAGAAGCGGGACAAACGGTCACTTTAAGAGGTTTTTCCCTCCCCTTGGCCCCCACTCCAGTCAGAACTATTTTGTTTGTAGCTCCTGATGAATGTACGTACATATGGCAACTAAATCCACATTCTCAGGTCTAGGAAGGGAGAGCAGAACTGGGGACATGCCCAGCCCGTGTCTGGCTGAGCGGCCAAGGAAAGGGGGGGGACTGTGCAACCACAGCAATGCAGTGTCCATGTGGAACTCGGGTCTTGG